TCCCCCCCGCTTCCTACGCCTATGCCAACACGCATCAAATATGTCTGTCTATGTTCTGTTTATTATGGTTCAAAAGCAACTCCAATAGGTGGGCTTTTAGTCTTGATTTAGAGGAACTCAGTGTTTCAGCTGTTTTGTCATTTTTCTGGCGTTTACTTTATAAAAAGTGTTCCAGATAGAAGAGAAGCATGTGGGAACCTTATCTTTACACCGCTCTTTTGTAATCTTTAAGCTCAAGTTTGAAATTCCCTGCAGACATTCCCCTGCATGGGACTTCAGTAACCAGATCTAGTAAACACTAAAGCTTCCCCAGATGCTTAAAAAGCAGCATGACCTTGTTACAAAATGTAACATAATACAACAAGGAGAATAATTAAACTAATAGTCACCTCTAGGAGGCTTTAAAATTGGTTGAATTCAGGTAATGTGGGACAGAATAGGTAGAAGATAGTACCTTAGAAATTAAAAGGTAAAACAAAGGGTGGTAATACACTGGTCTGTTAGAATACCACCAAACTCAAGGCCTGAAATATTCAAGGTTAACAGCGAAATTCCTTTTTTTCTTATCATGTTACAATTTACCTGATGTCCCAAACTTCTGACAGACCAAAACAAACACTTTAAATCTCTACAGGTGGAAGGACAAACCCGTGAGTTTTAGTGGTGTTAAATGTTCCATTCAGATTTGTCCTGTGTGGTCAGTGGTTGTACGGGCGTTCTTTCTTTCACCAGCTGTTACGCCATGTTATGATTGTGAGTTTATCTTAATGCTTCGGTTTCATTTACTGTAAGTCATGTGACTTTGTGTTAATGGTATTTGCTGTCGGCTGACATGCTGAGAAAACTTCCCGGAAAAACCTGCTTATGCCTTTGTGGTTCCCCGTCAGAGCTCTTAAAAAGCCATTGGTTTCCAGCTCAGATTCATTTGCATTACCCAGCTCTTGACACACACACCCACACACAAATATAAAAGGTACACCTGCTGATACACGACTGGACACAGGGATATTTACTCAACGTTGCACTGACATCGTCTCTTCCCCGTTTCTCCACCAGGTCTTAGTGCAGGCTCTCCAGCTGCATCACCCTTGAAGACCAGAGGGGGCTTCTTTCAAAAAAAGGATGAAGATCTGACAGACATGACACAACACAAACGCAAACCTCTAGCTCGCTCAAAGACAGGTACGTCTGTCGTTCAGCTTAGAACCAGTTTGGTTCCATAGTCTCAAAACCAAACTTCTGTCTCTCTTTGTTCCTGTTCTTTATGTTTGGGGTCAGTGGAGGTCATGGTTTACATTGTGACTGGACATGTTTCTGTTGAGGGTGCAACTCTGTGACGGCCTACAGAATTTGGAAACCAGTTGAGCCCTGCACGGGTCATTTTTCAACACCATGTTGAAATGAAAGTAGTTTACAGTGGTTGGCATGCAAATGAGCTGAAGCCAACCACACATATTCACAGCTCAGGATTGGCTGGCTTGAACAGCTTTTTTTTTTCCTTTGCTTTTTTCAGGCTGTGTGACAGTTGAATTAATTTATGTTTCTAACCTTCATTTCATAATTCGTCAGTCATTAAATTGAAAGCAGTGCAGAAGTCACGCCGCTGTGTGAGAGAACAGTGAGTGTATGACAAGCTTTTAGTATTTCAACAAATTGATAAAATGATTACAGATCTGACATGTTTAAACATGTTTTAGTGTCTTAAGTTAGCAGTTAGCACGGGTAGAGTGCTAACTAGATAATCAAAAACCTTATTGCGACACTGAAATTTCTAAATGGATGCCAACATTTTAAAAATATAACCTGTAAAGGTATGAAAGCTGAAAATGATAAAGTAGTTATATCACTGTAATATGTTCAGCCTTCCTGTTATTTGCTGAAAGTTTTACTCTCACTTGCTCATAGCACAGTTTCCTTTTAAATCGCTTCTTGCTGATTTGATGTTTCCTCTGATCTCACTGACGCTAAAGCAGCTAACTGACTCTTCTTCACCCAGTGTCGCCATGTAAGACGTACGATGCATTCACAGAAACTGCGTGCTTTCTGTTCTCAGATCCCAACATGTCTAAGCTGACCGACTCCCTTCTGAAGAAAGGATCCTCACTTCGCAGAAGTCTGAGGTTTCCCTCCAAGAAGGAGAACGACAAAGCGGCCAGGCAGGAGCCTCCGGCTGCTGAGGCCCTGCCTGAAATGAGGGAGGAGAAAGAAACGGAGGTGGAGGAGATGGAGGAGATGGAGGAGCTGTACACGCTGCCTGAAATTCCACACACACCACTGTCAGGTACGCACCATCACAGGTTATTTTACGCTTCTCAATCAGTTTATTTGGGTACAGCTGAAGCAGATATAAATGGAGAGGGTTTCTGCTTTGAGGCCTTTCATCCTCCCTCCACATTGCTACATCTAGACAGTAAATATGGACTTTTCCACCCATGTAGAAGCTAAAAGACACCTTTGAAATGTCAGAGCACTCTGCTTGGTGGAAGGTTCTGCAAGAGGTGGAGCTGGGGCTCTAAAAGGAACCGAAAGCCGTCATTACTGTCATTCTTTATAACTTTGTTTTTCATCTTTTGACCATGTAAATTATGTACTGCAAATAAGAGCTACTGCATTTTGTTACGTGTGCATGCCAACAGAATATAACTAACTTACATAAATATACATTCCCAGTTTAAATGGCCAAAACATAGAATCAGTAGTGATGATTTGCACAACAAACTGTACAAGCTGACATTTCACATATTAGAGAAATGCTCATCTGTGGCTTTCATGTATATTCACACCTCATGAACTTTTTCACATTTTGTCACATTACAACCACGAAACTTTATTGTAATTTAACAGGAGGTGGACTAGTCAAAGCAGGAAAGTGAAAGGAAAGTAATACATTTTCAATGTCTACTACAAATAAAAATCTGAAAAATGTGGCATACATTTGTATTAATCTCTTTACCACAAGACATGCAGACACTGCAAACACGTGCTCTGGTTAGATGAGATGGAAATGAAAGGGGGATGCTGTTCTATGGCATAGTGACAGCGCTCAGCGTGCACTGAAGGATGGATGGATGAAAACCTGCTAAGGACAGGGGCAGCAACCTTAGCATTCAGCCAAAGGGAATGATTTAGATCAAAGCATATTCATATGTTAGAATGGCCCAGTCCAAGGCCAGATCTAAATGGCAAGAATTGAATATTGATTCTTACAGACGTTCTCTGTTCAATCCAATTGATCATGAGTTATTTTGGTAAAGTAGATGTTGCTTAGATACAAGTGTGGCGCACATGTACGCCACACTTTTCAGATTGTATTTATGTAAAAAATTAAACTAAAGCCATGATGAATATCATTTTCCTTTTACTTCACAATTATGTTCAACTTTGTGTTTCTATGTCTCATAAAATCACACTGAAATACATTGTTTCTTGAAAAAAAAAATGGAAAGAAGAACATGATTATTTTGCAAGTTACTGTGTTACTGCACATTACTCTGGATTATTTTATTGTTAGCTACATTTGATCAATGATCAACAATCAGTGATCTCATAGAGTTCATCTATTCAAATAAAATCTAAATGAATAGGCCAGGTTTGACATTTACTGTCTGGAAAGTCACCAGGTTTAGACATTTTATTATGTTTAAGAAGCAAAGTTTATACTGTCCCACTTGTTCAGCATTCTTGTTTCTCGCCGCTTGTGGGGAAACAAGAATTAAGGATAGAAAAAAGTCTCATGCAGCTCCGGTCATCCTACTGTCTGTACGTGCAGATCTCTTCTTTGTCTCTGTTTTTGCAACACAAGCAGCTAAAGATAATCTTGTTTCAGCTACAAACACACAACGTCACAGAAAACGTCTGTAGTATAAACGTTCACAGGGGAAGATAATCCACTTCAGTTAAAACTGCTAATGAAGATTTAGTCTTATTTGAAGAATTTGATGTTGGAGGAGGATGAGTTGAACCCATTTTGCTATTCCCATTAATGTTTCTACATTAATGGGCAAATAGTGTAAATAATCAACCAGTAATGACTAATAACAAATCCACATTAAAGATGCACCAATCTGAGCTTTGTGCTTAGTTTCCAATCACAAGTTTTCATAAATATTAGACTGATTTTAGCAAGTTCTAACTATAAATATAATTTTAGTGGCAGCGTTGAAAATATTACGTTTTTTAAGCTTCTTGCAGTGGTTGAATATTAGAGAGCAGTTATTTTTAAAACAGCGACAAAATGGCTGGAGCAAAATGTTTTAAATTGCCTTTAATTGCTTTCACAAGCTAATCGCTAGCTTTCCAACCACACTAGCGATTAGCTTGAAAAGCACGCTAGCATTACAATATCTGTAATGCTAGCATGTCAAAATCTCCATCTTAACTTGGAGATTTGGTCAGATTTTGGTCAGAGATTTGGCCAATTCCAGTGTATTCCATAATGAAGGAGCAAATTGACCCAGAACTGACTTCAGTAGATTTCAAGAAAGCTGATTGAATGTTTGTTGATATTTTTTCTTTGACTGTAGTGTTTGCTCTGTAACCAGTGGTTCATCTCGACTTCATTTTTAAACACTTTCCTGATACTGAAAGTGACTAACTTTAAGTGACTCTGGGGTACCTGAATGCAATTACTTATTTTGGTGCATTCATTAATGAAAAAAATGTCAGATTTTTGAGCTTTCAGTTACTGCAATACTGGACTGAAACGGAAACTACCAAGTTCTTACACCTGTAGTCTTCTCAGGGTTTTCTAAAAGATTTCTTTGGACTTTTTAATTTATTTAACATCATTTCCAACAATGTAAAGTAGAAGCAATTTGAAACAGGGCTTGCGATGCCTCTTCTATGATTTGCTGCTGGTTTTAAAGACACATTTTGTAATGCTGCTCCCTCATGTTTCCTGTTAGGTTTGGACTGTTTATATGAAAGCAGCAGATTAAAAAATGGATTATGTCGTAGAAACGTCAAGGAATTCATTTGAAAATGAATCATTCAGCTTCCAGTAATTTAGAATAAAACTGAAGTCTAAGTCTTTTTTTCATGCCTCTACAGGCATGAAAAAAAGAAGACGTCTGTCATTTTTTCTTTTTTTTTTACCTTCAGTTATGCAGATCAACAAGCTGATAGAGATGGAGGTTCTGGAGGAAGCTCATCTGAACCTGCTTGCCATGCGACTGGAGTTTCAGAAGGAGCAACAGCAAACTGGTGACAACTCCCCCATGGAGTTGGCAAAGAAGGAGAAAGACCTGGCCCTCCTCTATACGGACCTCAGGAAAAAGATTTGCACCATAGTCTGTGATTCCAACTCCTTTCCTGCCAGGAACAAGGCACTACTGGTCCATGTGGCTCGCATCATCCAGGAGGAGGAGAAGAGGGCCGAGGAACCAGGCGGCCTGCCAGACAGCTGGATGGAGGCCTGGAGGGAGGCAGTGTCCCAGGGCGTGCAGGTCAAGGTCAACGGCGTTCATCTGGAGAAGAAGGAACATAATTCATCCTGGTTGGCGGTCCATCTCGGGCTCTTGGGAAAAACTATTGTAGAGGATCTGGAGAATGTGAAGCGGGAGCTGCGATGGTCCTACCCACCCAGCTTCAAGGTCTTCAGCACCTACGTGAAGAGCTACCACAGAATCATCGGGCAGCACTTGAGGAAGCTGGAGCCGCAGGTGACCGAGCTAAAGGATCTGTACGCTCTACTGGACTGGATCCTCAACAAATACAAGAGGTGGGGGAATAAAGGAATGTTGTGTTACTGTATTTCTATTGGAAGGTTGTCAATCTGATGCTCTCACTGTTTGACAGACAATGGACTTAGAATGGTTGCATAGGCAGCGGTTATGTCCGCCCACTGGGATGGACATAACATTTTAAACATAGTCATTGGTTGTTGGTGTGTTGCACTATCCTGCAAAGGTATTCATGCAAACAAAAACTTAAACATATTTTAATCAGATTTTATGTGACTGAACAATGCAAAGTATTGCATTGTGAAGTGAGGTACACGTGCATTGGAATTACACATAACAACCACCACAAACATTAGCTGGGAAACTGGTCAGACTTAATGGAAATAAGGGGCAATACAGGAAGAAAACCTTTAGGACATTGCAGCCAACTTAAAACTAAGCTGGATGGAACCGTGGATAAATGGCCAGAGCTACAATTAAATATTTAGATCCAGACACCATTTCATGACCTATGTTGCCAAAAGTATTTGATGGTACCAGAGGTGAAGGTGAGTCAGGAGTCAGGAGCTTGACCTGTAGCCTGTGAGGCTCGAATCTCCACTCCATCTGTATCAGTCGTTGTGTCCTTGGGCAAGAAACTTCATCCACCTTGTCTGCTGGTGGTGATCAGAGGGGCTGGTGATGCTGATAGTCAGCAGTCTCTCCACTGTCAGTCTGCCCTAGGGCAGCTGTGGCTACAATGTAGCTTACCACCATCAGGGTGTGAATGTGTGTGTGTGAATGACTGAATGTAGTGTAAAGCGCTTTTGAGTCCTCTGGACCAGATAAAGTTCTATACAAGTGCAGGTCATTTACCACTTACATTGTCTGCAATCACACACATACACTACTCTCAAAAAGTTAGAGGTAATTGGATTTCAAGTGAAAGTTGAGGAAAATGTAAGAAGCTCACTGATAGGTACTTTTTCTCGAACCTATATAAAAAGACCACAGACAACGTATATGAATTTTATAGACAAAGCTTTTGCAAAAGGAGAACTCTCCATCAACAACCTCATCAGCCGTTCACAGAGAATTCTGATCTCCTTTCGCGTGAGCCCCTGTTTTATTGTCAAGCAGAACAGCCAGAAAAAAACAACAGAGGTCGTAAAACATTTAACCTAAACAAACCAGCCAGGTGTGATATCTGATCTACGGTCTGAGCCCAGTTCAGCTCTAGGTCAAACTGTCAACAAAGAGGGAGGATAAACAAGAGACAAAATACGACTGCTCACAGGCAGTTAGGAGGTATTCTGGTTGATAAGAATTAAGGTCTGGGAAACACAGAGTTAACTGTCTCACACGAAGATGAAACGGTCAGTCGTAACCTCCAGGTCAGTTTATACACACATAAGGAAGATTAACATTAGACTGAATATGAACTAAAGTAATAACAAAATGATAATACCAAAAATCTCTATCACTCACTCTACCATTATGTTCTAACAATAGGGCATTGATGTAAAACCATGTAATGGGGAGTTCCTCATGTCAAGCAATACACTGAAACAAACTCTAACAACAGTGCTGGGAATGCCACAACAAAAATGTCAGTGTCTCAGTAACATATCATGTGGCCTTGATTATCAACGAAAGCATCTTATGTTGTTCACAAGTCATTCAGTCGACTCATTGTCTACCGAGTCATGGTATCCCAGTCTTCCTGAAGGACGGCCCTTGGGTCATCGAGGTTCTCTGGTTCAGAGTTAAACCACTCAGATGATATCAGAGGTATTTTTTTTATGAAATTCAGGTCTGGAGAAATTGCAGGCCACTCCATTCAAGGTACCTTAGTTTTCAGTAGCTGTTTCCTACCGATTTAATGTTGATGAGTTCTAGCACTGTCGTCCATAAAGATGAAATCAGGCCTGTGTTATTCAAGCAGAAACACAACGACTGGAGTGATGATGTCATTCAGGTAGTATGGTCTTGTCACTGTACTATTCACAAGGTGTAGGACAGTTCTGAACCATCTTCTGACACCGCAACTCCCCCACCACCAAAGGCTCATCTGGTGACAACAGTGGCTGATCATTGGCTGCTATCATTTCTGCTCAACATGAATCGACTTTCATCAGAGAACAACCCTGAGACCTACTGGTTCCTTATCCAGCATAAAAGCTCCCTGGAGCAGGCGCCATGCAAGATGACAGTGCCTGTGACAGGTTGTGTGGTCAGGTATCCTTGCAGGTCATCTAGCACACAGACACACAGTGGTAAATGAACTTGAGTGACATCCCATTGTTAATCCATCTACTAAAGGTTTTCCACAAGGTTTAGGAGTGTGTTTATTGAGATTAGTGGACATTCTTCTGGATTCTATGCAACTTCATCAGGTTCTTTCTCAACAACATTGTGAAACAGTCTTGTTTTACAGTAGTTTTCCAACTGTTTTGTCCTCATGGCAACTCGCAAACCCACACTTGTACATTGGGTTGCTAATGTAGTATGCTAACCAGAACGGCAGATGAAGCTTGCTTGTCTGTTGCAATTGGCTCTGCAGAAAGCTGGCAGCCTTTGCGTCCTCTTTGTCTCAGCATCTATTGACCCTGCTTTTATGTGGCCTAAGACTTTGAAGCTGAGTTACACCCACTTTGTCATAATATCATAATAACAGATTACTATCAAATTTTGTAAAAGCATTTCAAAAAAGGACAAATTGCACAGTTTGTGACCTACCAAGGTACCATGAAAGAATTCACAAAGTTCCTGAGTGAAAGCAGTTCCTTATGGATGTTTGCAGGAACAGTCGACACACCTGAGTTGAATGATCTGTATGGGTGTTTGCATCAACAATCATAACAGAAAACTAACATATCTGGGCAGCACATAAAACCTATTTGTGGACTGGAGTACCAGCAAAAGGGAGGCACTGAGGAGGAAGTATTAAAAAACAGCACAGATCATTTTGCTGACATTTTAACTTTGAATCAGACCACACCAAACCAACATGTTATGCTTAAAATGCAAATTTGGAGTCTAAAAAACCCCCAGCTGATATAATATATATATAAAAAAAAAAACTCAAATAGACAGAATGGAAACATTCAATTCAGGTCATGGACACGTTTCTCACAAATTAGGTAGAGTCATAAATTCTACAGTCCAGTACACAGAATCATTCTTTTTATTTACTTTGACACAAAGTCTGTGTATTACAATATTCTAAACTGCAATGTAGCGATTGACCACTGAAATTTTACTAAATCTGATAATATGAATTAATTCCCTGACATACTGCAATAGGCTGCAAATTCTTAGAAAATTCTGGATTTTGTAATATTTGACAGTTTTTTTCATGTCATGAGGAAGCCGTGTGATTGGCTCTGACTCCAAGTCAACAGGTCTGTTCACATGAAGCCTTCTCTCAGTGGGATGTGTTGTTTTTAGCTTGCTTCGGTGCTTGGCACATGTCACAACATGTGACTGGTATTCTTTTTCACTCCAACAGTGAGAAGATCATGGGAAGTTTCTCCTTGCAGCCGGACATGGCGGAGGAAAGTGCTGACCTGCAACTACAAGAAGGATTCCTGAAGCAGCTTTTGGAGAAGTACTGCTGCAAAGTAAAGGTAACATAAAAAAGAAAGAAAGAAAGAAAGAAAAAAAATTCCTATACCACCTTTCAAGATAAAAATCACACAGGTCTTTACAATAAGAACAAGTAGGACCAAGCCTACTGAAAAAAAGCTGGAAGATGAGAAACTCAAAGCCTCAGCCAGCAGGAGCAGAACCCTCCATATACCCCCTTCTCCCAGGTGAAAGAGCATCTTTTGACCTGTAGGGTGCGCTATCTGGCAGATTTTGGACTGTAGGTAAAAGCTGACGTTTCAAATCATTCTAAAAGGGTATGAATAAAATTTAAAGGGGCAGAAATATGTAGCCAACTTTTTTAGCTTTACTTCATGTTATTATGTTATTCCCTCATCAGAAACATAACTAGAGTGTTGATATGTTTCTTTCATGAATGTTTGACAAATCCTTTAATCTCCATGGCAACCATTTAGTTGTGAACAATGCCTGGGTGGCTCTAGCTCCGCCTTCAAGGCACAGCTCCTCCTCAGAGCTGCAGTTTCCAGGCTTCTGAGCTTCTGCTCACAGAGCAGCTCTCCGCCACTCAGCTCCTTCAGACTAGCCAGCATCTATTAGCAAACACTTGGAGCAACTGCACACATGCTGAGCTCATTATAGGAGCTACTTCTCAGTGGAACACTAAAGGGCTGTTAGAGGGACCATTTTTTTCATGACTTCAAATCAAGTTCCCAGAGTCTGCAGGAAGAGAGGAGCAGCACATCGTCCTGTGTGAAGTTCCCACAGTTGGTTGTGATTGTCATCTGCTGCTAAAATGGTTTTATTAACTACAAAGTCAGTGCAGCTGACAGAGTTCATGGATACTTTACCTCAGTTAGACCATGGTGGTGGTGGGATCAGGATAACTGCTGTGTTATCTTCGAAAAAATAATATAAAGACCTCTGCTCTTTTTTATTTTATTTTATTTTCTTCACCGGCCTTTGCTTTGGTTCCATTATTGATTTTTTTTCAAATCATTTTTATTTATTTCACCAGGTGAGTGATCAAGAACAAATTCTTACTTACAGTAACAGCCTGGCGGGGAGGGAAGAACGCAGAGGAACGTCAAGCTGGACACTACAATAAGCAACAAACATTAGCAACACTGTTGAAATCATAAAACAGTTAAAACAACAACAACAACAATGCAGAGTATTTTTCATTCAGCTAAAAATGAAAAATACTTCATTTTTAGCTGAAGTATGTGAGGGTTTCTTTAAAATACCTTTACAAGTACCTAATGTTACGAACAAGCTCAACTTTATCACTTTTTGAAGTTTCTTCCAGTCTTTTGCTGCAGCATAATGGAAAGATAGTTCTTCATATTCAGGTTTAATTTGGGGAAAAGTGAGCATAATGTAGTCAGCATTTTTCATGTTGACTACAGTGTTATTTTTGGACACTGGACGTCTACGTATTTTAAAACAGTTAAATGAACACTCCCTAAGACTGAACTGTCATTTACAAACAAGAAAATGTGATTTCAGCTCAAATCAAATTTCCAAATAATCAGCCTGAAATGATCCCGTTCCTTCCTGCTGAGACTCGTGTTTTGACAGTGCTGGCCTGCTGTTTTTCTCTCTGTGTGTGTGTGTGTGTGTGTGTGTGTGTGTGTGTGTGTGTGTGTGTGTGTGTGTGCTGCAGGAGGACATGAGCGTTCTGCTGGACAGAGTGATTGAACTCGAACATGAGACTGTGTGGAAAGACAAGACGGAGCCCCAGAGGGAAGACAACCTGCTGCTCTCTCTGTTTCCTATGGACATTTGGACTGTAAGACCCCCATAGTGATAAATCATTCTGCTTCAGTTTAACTAATAAAAAGCAGAGTCATTTTTTCTTTAAATCAATATTTCTAATTAGAAATGATGAAGATTTAAGAGCTTGAATAAAAAAAGTTACATTTTCATGCAGCTTTTAAATGCTACCTATCAGCAGAGAAGATTATTTCCAATCAGTATATTAATTAATAATCTAACCTGTGTGAACATATCAACTGTAGCCTTGTCCTACTAACTCTACATGAATAAGCACATGAGCTGACTGAGTGTCTTTAGTTATATTCTAATCAAAATGTTTAGCTGGAATTTCTTATTAAAGTGAAGTAGTTAACGTTATTAGAGTTCAGCCATTTTTAAGCATTATGTTTACAAACTATTGTGCTTGTTTCAACTTTAACTTTTAATTTGAATGGTTATTTTTTTTAAACGCTCCAAAATTCAGTTTTAAAGTGTATTATTTCAGTTACACATAAAAGTATAAATATCCAATTTAATGCAGGGTTGCATCCATTTGATGGCAGTAGAGCCTCATGTTCCCGTTTCTGCCTGCAGGCTGTTAAAGGAAAAGTGGACCACTCTGGAAAACTGGACCCTGATCTGGTGAAGAAAGTCATCGTTTCCTGCCTGGAGGAGTTGAAAAGTTTTCCCAGGAAGTATGATTACAAATAATACTAATTTTAGTAACATGCACATATTCAACATGCACAAAACATTTGAGTTGATCTTAAGTCTTGATGATGAAAGTCATTGTGATCAAAAAGATTTGGTGTAGAACAAAGGAAATATCTCCATAAGAGAGTTTCTCTCAGTTGTGTTGGAAACTATCACAATCATCTCAAACAAAAACACTTCAAATTAAATAAAAACATGCAGATAAAACCCAGAGCAACTTGTCAGAGTAATAATACCTGTGGAAAAACTCAAAGTTTGTTCAATAGAAAAAAAACTGAAAAAAAAAAATCCCAAAAAGATTTGAAACAGAAAAATTATTTTGATCTGAAGAAAAGTTTGAAACTGACAAAAAAAAGAGACTTGAAATTGACAAAATAGATTGAAAATAGATTTGAAACTGGAAACAAAAGTCCAAGTCTACTTTTCATCTTCAAGTTTTTTTGGTTTTTTTTCAGTTTCAAATTGTTTTTCTTTTGAGCAAAGTTCATGACCCCGATGTAGCTCTGAAGTCAGCTTCCCACAGGATGGCGCTAAGACACCTATGAACTGCAGGTTGGGATTTCATTTTCAAGTCTCAAAATACCATTGAATTCATGTAACTAATTAGTCAAAAGCTCAAATAGTTTAGGCAGCCATTTCAAACATTTTCCTATCATCTAAACCTTTTCACATGATTTCCTTTCAGTTTTTCTATCCATACTTGATTTTATGGCACATATATATTTTTTCAACTGAATCTTATGGAAAAGACCAACATGTTGCCACTAATTGTGAAGCAAAGGGTAGTTTACTCATAAATTTACAAATAAAAATCTGAAAAGTGTGACGTACATTTGCATTGAGTCTCCTTTACTTTGATCGCCTTGAATAAAATCCAGTTTAAGTGTCTTTTAGCTGTTCTAAATGCAGTAAGTCTGTTTCTAGCCTCAAAGGTTTGAACAAACAGAATTGTGAATCGTGAGGAACCCAGCAGAAAGGATCCAGAACATTTCACTGAGCTCTGTTCAGTCTGTCATTAGAAAGAAACAAACAGACGAGCTTAAAACTGAACTACTTTTATAGTAAATGCAAAATGTGTCCGACCTGCTAAACACCACAGAACTTAGCCAATGTATAAACTATCGCATTTTTCTA